TCTAAAAATAGTGTTTCTAGCCTTTGCATTCCATTTTTCGTAGTTCAACTCATCGCCTTGTGGGTGTGTGGCATCCCGAGGTTTTAGAAAACCTTGTGAGGCGGCTCTAAGTATTCCAACATCTAGAGCTTCTAGATACGCCTCCATGCGGATTTTCCAATATGGAAAATCATCCCCCTCGAAGATAGGAGGAGGTCCATCCCCGTGAGACATCTTTCACTAGGCGGTTAAGCCTAAATACGTGAGCATGAGACTCTGATACCAATTGAAAGGATCAAGATGCCCAAGAGAGGGGGTGAATTGGGTTAATTCTAAATTTTTTTGCAATAATTAAATCCTACGGTTAGCCCAATTAACCCCTTGTGCCTAGAAAGTGTTTCTAATTGTTCTACCACATAAAAGACTTGCAACCTATGTTCCAATCTTACTCTAGCATGGCAATTCTAAGAATGTAAATGACAAGAATTGAATTGCTCAAAGTAAAGAGAGGAGGAAGAATGCGGCGATGTTTTGCCGAGGTATCGGAGAGTCGCCACTCCCCACTAGTCCTCGTTGGAGCACCTGCGCAAAGGTGTAGCTCCCCTTGATTCATGCAAGGATCAAGTGCTCTCTACGGGTTGATTCTTCGACACTCCATCGCGGTGAATCACCCACAACCGCTCACAACTTGAGTTGGGTCATCCACAAGCTCTTCGGATGATCACCAAGCTCCCAATCTGGTAAAGAAAAGACCTAGTATAGATTAAAGATATAGCAGCCTCCCTATAATTATGATTTTATTTTAAGTATCACACTGTCGTTGATTCAGACCATACGCCGGCTCCATAGTTCAAGTAGTTACCAGCAGTTCTCTTGGGCACAAATAATGCACTTACAGACTAATTAAATATAAAGGAGAAGAGGGGTCTGGGTATGGGGATTGCTTGGTCCTATGCTAGCTGAGACAGGTAAGCGGCGCTATTTCAAGCTTTGGATCCAAGCCGTGTAGGTGATGGCGATCACTAAGAGTAACAAGCACGAACTCTCACTTGACCACGATAAGACTAATGAGAAGGGTGGATGCACACTTTGCTACTCTTGATCTCACTAATGAGGGCTCTCTTTGGGATTTTCAAATCTCAATCACCTCACTAGGACCTTGCTCTTCTTGGCACTCTCAAACGTGTTTCTCAGCTGTTGGAATGAGAAAAAGTACCCCCACACACGAGTGAAGGTTCTATTTATAACATGAGCTGAAAAACGAACCGTTATGTGCCTCTGTGGGGTGATCGGACACTCCGGTCATGTTGACCGGACGCTCCGGTCAGTACACCCCGAACTCCAGTGTTTACAGTGTGACCGGACGCGTTCGGTCGTGATTTTCCCTCTCTGGAACCTTACTGGAGTCGACCGGACACTGGCTCTCAGCGTCCGGTCACTTCACCTCTCAGTGTCCGGTCGCACCAGACGATTTCACCTTGGTCAAATGAACTGACTGGACTCTGCACCAGCGTCCAGTCACACCGGAGCCAGCGTCCGGTCAGTATTTGACCCTCCATTCACTTCCAACTCTCGATCATATGTGAATAAAGTTTGCTCCATTGGATCTAAGGGCTATTTTAGAGCTACATAGTGCTAGTTTTAACAAATGTGCACCACACCTAACTCACTAGACTCACCTAGGTCAAGCTACCCATCCATACCCCTTAATAGTACGGCCAAAGGAAAAACAAAGTCCTAAACTACTAAGTGTCACTCCAACTTCAATCGACACTTAGAACTAGTCCATCCTTAACCTTGTCGTCCATCCTTTAAAAACCGAAACGATTTCCATCGTAGGGGCATGACCACCTTGATTGCCCAATCGATCTCCATTACCGTGATCTAACTTAATTACCTCTGCAAAACACACGTTAGTCATAGTAATCACGCATTGTCATTAATCACCGAAACCCAACTAGGGGCCTAGAAGCTTTCACAACACTCTAGCCAGATTGACTTTGTCCTCGCAAGAAGAAAGGACAAACAAGCATGCTTGGGTTGCAAGGTGATACCAGGGGAGTGTGTTGTTTCTCAACATAAGCTTTTGGTGGTAGACTTTCGTTTTCAGGTGCGTGCCCGTAGGGATAAACAAGCTAAGATTGAAAGAACAAAGTGGTGGAAACTGAAAGGGGAGACGTCAGAGGTATTCGAGGAAAGGGTTATCAAAGAAGGCTCTTGGAAGGAAGAAGAGGACATAAACAACATATGGGAGAAGATGGCAACCAACATTCGGAAGGTGGCCTCAAAGGTGTGTGGAGTAACCAAAGGAAATGGAGGCGAGGCTAAAGATACTTGGTGGTGGAACGAGGAAGTCTAAAGGGCTATTAAGGAGAAGAAAGAATGCTATAGACGCTTGTACCATGACAGGAGTATGGACAACATAGAGAAGTACAAGGTGGCAAAGAAGACTGCAAAACGAGCTGTAAGTGTGGCAAAGGGTAGAGCGTACGAGGATCTTTACCAACATTTCGGTACTAAGGATGGAGAGAAGGACATTTATAGGATGGCTAAGGTTCGTGAGAGAAAGACAAGGGACTTCAACCAAGTTTAGTGCATTAAGGATAAAAGGGAGCATCTCTTGGTGAAGAAGGATTAGATCCGACATCGATGGCAAGATTATTTTGACAAATTGTTTAATTGTGAGAATACGGACACAACCTTTCAGTTGGATGACTCTTTTGATGACACCAATAGGCGCTTTGTGCGGAGAATCCAAGAATCTAAGGTCAGAGAGGCGTTGAAAAGGATGAAAGGAGGTAAGGCGATGGGACCAGATGGTATCTCAATCGAGGTGTGGAGATGCCTCGGGGACATAGCTATAGTATGGCTAACCAAGCTATTCAACCATATTTTTCGATCGAACAAGATGCCTAACGAGTGGAGAAGTATATTGGTACCGATCTATAAGAATATAGGGGATATTCAAAGTTATACTAATTACCGGGGAATTAAGTTGATGAGCCATACTATGAAGCTATGGGAGAGAGTTATCGAGCATCGCTTGAGAGCAATAACGCGGGTCTCTATGAACCAATTTGGTTTTATGCCCGAAAGGTCAACCATGGAAGCAATTTTCTTAATAAGACAAGTTATGGAGCGGTATAGGGAGAAGGACCTACACATGGTTTTTATTGACTTGGAGAAGGCTTATGATAAAATACCAATGAATGTTATGTGGTGGGATTTGGACAAACATAAAGTCCCAACGAAGTACGTCGGGCTCATTAAGGACATGTACAACAATGTTGTGACTAGTGTTCGAACAAGTGATGGAGACACGGATGACTTTCCGATTAGGATAGGACTACATCAAGGGTCAGCTTTGAGCCCTTATCTGTTTGTCTTAGTGATGGATGAGGTCACAAGGGACATACAAGGGGACGTCCCTTAGTGTATGCTTTTCGCGGATGATGTAGTGCTAGTTGATGAAAGTCGGACAGGAGTGAATCGGAAACTGGAGTTATGGCGGGAGACTTTAAGTCCAAAGGTTTTAGACTCAGTAGAACTAAAACTGCGTATATGAGATGTGACTTCGGTACTACTACTCGGGAGGAAGAAGATATTAGTTTGGAAGGTCAAGTAGTGCCTAGGAAGGATATCCTTCGATATTTAGGATCAATGCTATAGAGAGACAGGGATATTGATGAAGATGTTAGCTATAGAATCAAAGCAGGGTGGATGAAGTAGCGCCAAACATCTGGTGTCCTATGTGACAAAAGGGTACCACTGAAGCTAAAAGGCAAGTTTTATAGGACGGCGATTAGATCTGCTATGTTGTATGGTGCAGAATGTTGGCCTACGAAAAGACGACATGTTCAACAGATAAGTGTCGCGAAAATACGTATGTTGTGTTGAATTTGCGGTCATACAAGAAGGGATCGAGTTCGGAACGATGATATACGTATGTTGTATGCTTTGTTGTTGTTGTTGCTGCTGCTGCTACATGTGAGTCTGTGTCTGACACCACTTCGGGTCAGGCTTGCATGTTCAGAAATAAAAGGATTTAGGGCCTGTTTGGTTCCTGCAGTGCCTCCTAAAATTCCTGTCACGTCGAATGTTTGGACATATGCATGGAGTATTAAATATAGACTAATTACGAAACTAATTGCACAACTTGCGACTAATTTACGAGACGAATCTTTTAAGCCTAATTAGTCCATAATTTGACAACGAGGTGCTACATTAACATGTGCTAGTGGCATGTTAATTAGGCTTAAAAATCATCTTGCAAACTAGCCTCCATCTATGTAATTAGTTTTGTAATTAATCTATATTTAATGCTCCTAATTAGTATCTGAACATTCGATGTGACATGAATTTTAGTAGCAACTAAAGAATCAAACACCCCCTTAGGCTCTTGGCCATCCTTGTGGTTGTCCCTGAAACACTGTTTGGGAGTTGGGACAGAACTGAAATGGTGATCGCAGCGCATTCTAGCAGTTAGCCTGTTCTTGTCATAAGCTCGATCAGCGAAAAACCACGAACCCTGCATGCTGCATGATTCATGACACAGTTGCCACATAGAAAAGATATTTTCATTTTTTTTAGGAGGAAACAAAAAAGGTCCACTTGGAATAGAATAGAGCAATGAACAACACATTCGTCTGGCGTCAATCAAGCAAGTGCCAAGAGGACATCTCAGATCAATAAAATTGCAGGAGCTATAGAAAGGTATTGTATCCTACATGCCACATGCCCTAGCTCAGCTGGCTGTTGACATCTGAAAAGTTATATATATTTATATATCCATAAAGATTCGATAAGATATATGCACAGGTAAGGACAATTCGATGCCCTCGCATTTGATAACATGGTGTGCACAGCATTTAACGAGTACTGCTATATTATCCACTTGATTACTAAAGATATATATAGTACTCTTAATACTCTCCCCTTCTTTACAGTAGCTTCAGCGTCCCAATCGGGTAATATATCGCGCTAAATACAGCTCAGGGCAGGAGGGCACTTGAGCCCCACTGTCAAACAGCACATGGCCTAGAGCTCATCTTCTGACCCCTCCCACTCTCATCTAAGGTCAGGCTATGAACAAAGCTCGGCAGGCAACAGCGTCCGGTATACCACGCCTTCTGCTTCCGGCTCTTGGCGACTGCGGTCGGCGTCGGTACAGTGCTGCAAGCGGAGCTGGATGTGGATTCAGACACCGGCTTCCCATCTGCAGCAACAGATTGCAACTGCTGCTCCTCGTCAGCGCTTTCTTCAGGGCCGTCTTGCATTGCCTCCTGCAGGAGCTCAGCTAGCTTCCTACGTCCAGTTGGAGAAGGCTCCGGTGATTTGGAGCTGTGCGTGTCTGGTTGAAAGATGTTGCTCATCACCGTCTGCGCTCTGGGCTGATAGATGGGTGTGCTGCCACGAGATGGAGTGAAATCTGCATAAGAGCACGACTTATGATTATTCAGCAACTGAAGCAAATCACGTGTTGATAGAGATATCTAATTGTTCAACTATTAAACTTGGGTGCATCAGAACTCCGATTTGTTGTGAGAGAAAAATACTGTAGATTAGCCGACTGATAAGTTCAAGCGAACAGAATCTTTCGTTTGAACTTATCAGCCGGCTTATCAGCTATAATCTCATGTTTTTCTCTCACAACAAATCAGCTTCAGCCGGCTTATCAATCGGCTTTAATACCAGCCGAACAGGCCAACATTGCTAGAGTGATTGATAGAGGACCACATGGGATAGGTTATGAAGCTAAAGGTGGGGGTCCATGTCCATAACTGTTAGACACCGAGGAATATGATAGCGCCCAAAGACAAAATCAAAGGCATCGACTTTTTGTTTCAATAGGCAATCAAGTATAAATTAGGTCCCTTAGATTCTAGAGACAAATAAAAGCTGTATCATCAAGGAACCTAGCAGAGCACATGCATTTTGCGTGTAACAAGTGGAACAATCCACATTTCACATGCTGCTGGTATAATAATAGAAGAACCTAAAAAAGGGAATGGCACGATAAACTGGTGCCAAAGTAATCTCAGTATGCAGGACCAGGATATAAGAAGCTATCTCTAAAACTAGATTCAAACTTCTTTAAACATTTATAGTAAACAAACATGTGTAAAGGTTCGATTACCTCCATTCACGCTGTAAAAGTCATCCTCGCAGTCAGAATCTAACCAAGCTCGAGACTCGAAGAACACTTCATCCTTGCTACCTGCAAATTAAGTTCCATAAGTTATTCATGAAAATAATAATCTTTGTATGCATGTTTGATGAATTTCAGCCAAGAGATCAATCAAATAAGAGAAGGGGAAAAAAGAACCACTGAACAATCTTTATTTCTTGGTAGGCTGGTAATTCAAGAGGTAGCAATTGACTTTTGGACAAACAAACATTAAAGCACACTGATTCCAGCTAAGCTATTCAAGAGACTATGAAGTAGGCTTTTGATTTTTGGCAACAAAGATCATGTGTTATTTCAATTTAGAATTTATTCAGCAATCTCACAGGGGAAAAAACTGCATCCTAATTCCGGAGGAACTTGACCAAACATCGAAGTAAAAGGCCTACTACAGTCAATAGAGCAATCACTTTGCGTAGAACAGAATCCTCATTTATAAAATGTTCGATTTTCAAGAACAAAACTCAGTACTCAAAATCAGTCAGCTTCAGTAATCGTTTTCCGTTCAAGATCACCCGCCCCAACAAAGCTAACTGATCTCCAGAAGCAGTTAATGCAATGATAACACCACACTTCGCTGTCAATCCTGAAATCAAGAGCCCAATAGATGAATAAACAAATCCAAAAGTTCCCTTTTCACATAAAGAACTGACTGCTCATCTGCTCTTTTTTACCTCCAAAGATCTTCAATAAACTACGGTAATAACTGATTATAAGAAGATAAAGATCGGAACATCACTTCGGAAAAAGACCAAACAAACAAACAAACAAACATCACGCATACCAGAATCCGGGCTCTTGGGGTTAAACTCTGCCCGCTGCTGCTCAGCGTCGACCTTGGCCTTGAGGTCACCAAAGCCATCACCAACCGGAGCAACGCCGCCGCCGCCCTTCCCGTTGGCTGCCTTCGCCTTTGTGGGCGAGTCAAGAAACTGCTTCTTGGGGTACTCCGGGTCCTTGTGAACCGAAGCGCAAGCACCCATCTCCACTTTTCTCCCCTTTCAAGACGCGGCAAGAAGCATGTCCGTGCGAGCGTGCACACGGGGCAGGCTACTCCTAGGAGTCCTAGCAAGAGATCCTACGGAGAAAGAATCAAGAAAGGGAGCACGAGGATCAAGGATCAACGTGGGGGAGCAAAAGGTGAAGACACGGATGCTCCTGGGGGGAAGAAGACGGAGGGCCGGAGGGGAGAGGTCGAGGGAAGGGAAGGAGTGGGCGTCTTTACTGGGAACAGTGCGGCGATGCCGGGGCGGCCGTGCCCTCCCTTTTTGAGAAACGGGCGTGGGAAAAAGACTGGGGAGTCTTTAATTCTGAAACTGCCGAGCACGGCGCCCTAATCAATGAAAAAACTATTGGTGGCTCACAATATTTCTCTGTTTTTCTTGCACTGCACAATAGTACATCAAGGAAATCAGATAAGGATGTGTTTAGTTGGAGGGATAAAAATTTTAGGGTGTCATATTGGATGTGCCGGAAGGATATCGAGAGTGTTTTTTTAATATTAATAAAAAAACAAATTACAGAACTCATCTGGACGAGACAAATCTAATAATACTAATTAACCGGTCATTAGCACATGCAGGTACTGTAGCACTTAAGGCTTTTTATGGACTAATTAGGCTTAAAAGATTCGTCTCGCCGAGAACTGTGCAATTAGTTTTTTTTCGTCTACATTTAGTACTCCATGCATATGTCCAAACATACTCTTTTACTGTAGGAGGCAAAAAAAAAATTGAAAACTAAACAAGGCCTAAACTTGGTTACATGAACCATTGGACGGAGTATTTTTCAATGGTGATATATGAATTCAACACAAGGTTTGAATGAACTCTGCGAGAGATTTTAGCTGACATCGAAAATGGGCCTCAACCTCCACCAAAGCAGCTTAGATCGCTGTATCTTTGGGTGCTTATGGCCCCATTCATTTCGCTAAAATTTGATTTATGCTGATGTTTATTTTGAAATGTTGCGAGAGAAAAATATTATTGGATCGCTGAAAAGTACTGCTGAAATAGTGCATCGATAGTTTGTTGACCATATAACTAATGAACCTAGCTACTTGACTGTTTATCTCTATCTCTATCTATATCTATATCTATATGTATCTATTTCTACCTATATGGCTATATCTATACTTAATATTAAAAAAAAAGTGAAATGATTCTTCCGTCTGTTTTTTATTTTCCAAAGAACGTTGTGTTAGAGTAGCGTGATTGAGATATGACGAACTCGATCTTTCTCATGCCCTGTATAAAGTTAGAGTAGCATGTAAAAAGAACGATGTGGAGTTCGATTCCAAAATGAATTGGAATACTAAGGCTCCGTTCGCTTCGCTGAAAAAACAAGCTGAAACACTGTTTCAGCTGATTTGTTGTGAGAGAAAAACATTATTTCGGTTAAAAAGGCAAGCCGAAAAGTACGGATTATAAGAGAAGCGAAGATGACCTAAGTGTTTCTATGTTAAGCTTTAATTTCTGTTTTTATATAAGATGATAGCGAACATCATAGCATATTTTCAAAAACTTCATTATGAATGTTTCCATCATAATGTTTCATATAATTTTATATTTCTAGTATGAATTTATTACTGGATGTGTAACCTGTCAAAATAATGATTAAAAGTTATGAGTACTTTTTAACATAAATTACGATGTCAGCTACCACCTCACAAAATTTAAAATTAAAATGAACTTGAATGTAGAGAAGAAAAAAAAAAACATTGTTAAGAGATAGTTTGGATGCACTGAAATCGTTGAGTGTGGTAAACTGAACAAAACATTAGTTCATGGGACTGTCTAAATATAGATGCCAAACTTAGATAGTAATTTGGAGTTTTTTCTTTAGTTTTATTATTATGTTTAGTGTCAAAAGATACTTTAATCACGTCCTTTATGTAGCCATTCCTTCTAACAAATGGAGTGGCATTCTTTTATTGAGAGATAACAAAATGCTTCGCCTCTCTCAACCACCACCGTGCATCTATAGTTCCCAACTTTTGCATACAACTCTGAGTCATCATAAAAAATCATAACATACCACAATCAGGAATATATCCAATAGAACACCTATAACATGATGAAAAAAAAAAGATCTTGCAACATCCAACGTTGAAAAATATTGGGACCGATCGCCAGTATATAGTCAAAGCATTACACATTTCTACGAAGGGAAAAAGAATTTTGTGCAAGATGCCATCAATAATTGTTGGTAGAAATTGTTTCCAGTCACGTCTTGTCCCTGAGCCACCATATCACCCGGACAGGTGTCCTTGTTACCACGTGCATGAACAATTTCCTGCAGTGAGTTTGAAGTGTCAGATTAATCATTGATTCTATATAGATATATATATAGATATATATATATCCCGTTTATTTAAGCTTGTTTGGTTTATAAGCCGTACTTTTTTAAACTAATAAATACTATTTTTCTCACACACCAAATCAGCCAACGATATTTTCAGCCATGGTTTATCAGCCAAACAAGCCCAAACAAACAGGGCGCTAACATGTTTCTATACTACATACAGTAGTAATAAAAGTGTAGTAGTGATTAGCATGTGACATATGGCCCGTTCGCTTCGCTGAAAAAACAAGTTGAAACACTGTTTCAACTGATTTGTTTGAGAGAAAAACATTTTTATGACTAAGAAAAGTAGGTGAGAAGTACGGCCATAACCATCGCCCGGCCCCTTGTCAAATTACGAACCAGCTAGCTGGTAGATAATTTGGAGAAAATTAAAAACAAGACAAGAGAGGAGCAGCTGGTAGATAATTTGGAGAAAAATTAAAAACAAGAGGGGAGAAGTTCATTAGGTGATACACCGAGAAAGCGAAGTTTACAAATTTCCTCGTCACGTTGTGGCCGGCCGGCGGGCGTTCTCTCTGTCCTACTAAGCGAAACGGTGACAGGGCGAGGATTAGACCTTGACGCTTTGGAACCACGTCCCCAAGTGCGACGTCCACCCAGACGCTGACTTGTTGGCGAATGGCGAGATGTGCGTGATTTTTGGGCATGAGCCACGGGTTTCTTCAGGTCGTACCGGAGAGCAAACGCCCATTTTATTTCCATGCTCAAATAAATCAGACCCCGATTGGCAGAAACATATATGTGGATTTTTCGAAGCTGAGTATTTGTGTAGCTCTAAAAAAGTCATGGACCTAGTACATCGCATGTATTTACGTACACCACTCATTTCGTTTATAGATTAAATTAAATATAAATATTTAATTATTTTAATTTAGTCCACAGGCTATATATATCCCATAGATAGATAAAGCTTCATATATCGCTCTCATGCGTGTCGTGCCCTCATGGGAGGTGCTGACTGCTGATTTGCTGAAGGATACAAGGGCGGGATTGTGACCAGTAGTACGTACTCGCGTCTTGTTGAAACATTCATTGCAATTTATAGCTAGCGATTTATAGAAGACGTTCTGAAGGTCAACTTTTTTAATTTGACCAATTATATATAAAAGAATATTAATATTTATAATACATACTAATTATTATTAGATAAATCGTTGAATATACTTTTATAATAAACTTTTTTGGAGATATAAATGTTGTACGTATTTTCTACGAACCTAGTCAAAATTGAGAAAGTTTGACTTGCACGCATCTCATAACGTCTTCCTTTCCATGACGGAAGGAGTAGTAGTACATAAAAGGGCAGCGGTTCAGAGTTGCTGAGGAGTAAAAAACATTGAACTTTCTATGGGATTTCTAGAGGTTTAAGGTAGTCTTAGTGAGAATTTCATATGAGCTTTATTTGCATTTAATAGGCGGCCACCGCTACCACAAAAGTGGTGATCCATGGTGAACTTGAGATGACGTTATGTGGAATTGTTATAGAGAATAGAAATCTATGACGGTGCTGTGACGATCTATGACAATTTGTATACGAGATGATGTTATAAGAAACCATCATATAAAACCCTAATATATGACGACGCATAGGTGTTTTTATGACACGGCCATGTTTTAAGAAGTGATGAAACTCTTTTGATATGATTACCAACTTTATATGAATCATGAAATTAAATGTCTATGAAACTATAGAATGAAACTATACATTGAGAATAGATGATTTATTTCATTTTACATGATGTGACAGTTTTGTAAACAATGCCATAAAACTCTGCAAGTTTATTTCATTTTACATGACCTAGCAACATGCATGGTGGATGGAAGAAAGAAAAATCAATAATGTCAGCTCACCGTCCTACACGATACGGTGCAGAGTTAAGGTTACCGATAAAGTACGCCCTGCGCGGCAGGTAAATGATGGGAGGCCAATCTAAAATTCGGGGACATTGATGCATGTCTCGTCTATGTACAAAAAGTTAGAAAAAACGAAATTTTCCTGGGTGCGTGGAGTGGTGTGGAGCTAACAAAACAGTGTTTAGCACCGAAAAATGCATCAATCTCAATCATAGAGCGAGCTGTCGATATGTCGAACAGTATTAGCGCCAATAAAATTCAGAAGAGTAGTCAACAATATCCTCTTATGTGTAACCTTGTAAAGTGTTTAGAGGCCCGACACTCGCTATTGGCCGGTGACACGACACTGGCTGCTGATGAGCACCTTTTATCTCCATCTCCCACACTTGGAATGTGAAGGACAACGCAAAATAATGGAACCAACGTGGAGGAGGAAATTCAAGGGTGACACGGAAAAGGGTCCTCCAGCTGCAATTTTTTTTTTTCTTTGACATATGCGAATTCCTCCCTGTTTACGAAAAAACGGAAAGGAATAATATAAACTCGTTCCGGACGGATGCTAACAAACACTAGACGACGTGCCATTTCTCTCTCTCTCTCTATATAAAGAACAGTAACTGAATCAAAAGGACCGGGAATTATTAGTCATGACACGTACAGTCTCCATTATTACTGAAGCCAGCAAATATTACTGGAATTAATTCGAATGTTATACATGATGAATCGCATGCATGCATGTAATTGTGTCTTCACGCAGCTAGCT